GAGTCATAAACACTCACCAATATATCTACCCCTTTTCTTCAATCCTTGACTTTGATCGCTTTGAGCTTTGAGGTAATCTTGATTCGTTCTGAAATGATTTTGTCATCTTGTTTGTTTATACATGTTTGTATATAATTGCTCTGCATGTATCTGATCTTATTAATCTGTATACTTAATGTAAACATTAGTTCGAGAACACTTTTAATGGTTTATAATCATCAAAATCATTAGATGGTCTTTAAATGACCTTTTAGGTCAACAACACTGTCTGACAATTTTCTATCGGCAGATGCAAGAGGTAACTAACCGTTAATCGAAACCTGCCAGTTTTGGAATATTGACCCTGTTTATGTTTCTTAGGCCATTGACATCTTATTCGGTCCACTTGTGACCCTGAATATGATTTAAAACCTGTCCCAAATCACAAACAAAATGAACTAAACGACATATAAACATTCACATATATGAATTGACATAAATGCCCCTTAATTAAAATCATATAGGTAATATAATTCTTTTATTCATAGATTGGAAAAACTTACATATCATCCATTTCATATTACACATACAAAACACAAAAAATACCTCCAACAAGTTATCCATACATTTACACAAATGGGGATATATTTTTTATACCAAAAAGAGAGTTGATCCATCCACCATAGCATACCTATACATCATCACATATAAAGTCAAGCCATCAATTTTTGATCGGCATACAAGTAACAATAGTGTGATCAACTTCAACATGAAAGACAAACAAAATAAATACAAAATTAATTATTGTCAAGAATTTCTTAACTCAAAACAGTTTTTGCCGAGCTCGAGGATTAATCTCGGATATTGTCTCCTCAGATAGTGGTGTCGAATTACGTTAAGCACTAGTGTGATCAACATCCTTAGAATGGATCATACAAAAATAATGTTTGTACATACGTTAATTAATGAAAAGTTAAAACATCTGTATTTAGAATATATTGCGTGAGCAAAAATTTTATAGGAGATAAACTTACAAGGTAATATAAGAATCGGCATTCATGATACGAAATAGATGAAGTCCCCTGCTAATATATTGTCAATGTTCATTAGCGGGTGGATTTCAAAAGTATGAAATAATGTTCAACTTAATTTTTATGTAGCTAGTTGAGAATAAAAGTTTGTTTATACCTGTTCAGTTGATGGAGTCCTGGGATGACTGAAGTTAGTGCTAGGACAGTATGCCATTTGGTCGATATTTGTTTCAGATTGTAAAGTTGCAGATGGGTGACAATCTTCGTGAATCGAAGTGGCGTCGCTAGGAATGTCATAACCCTTATTTTAATATGAACATTGTTAGTTAAGAGTTTATCGTACTGAAAAATTTAATAATATAAAAAAAATTAAAAATTAAGGTTTTGATTTAACATAAAGAACATATGTAATAGGTTGTACGGTACCACTGTCACCTACCTCTGCACAGACACTCTTGTTGCCATTTGATTTATAGAAAACAATAGATTTATTCATTGTAAAAACATAATTAGGATATTGCCAATATCAAAATGTTAATGACATATAGTGAACAATTAAATTATCAAATAATAATAAATAAAATAAATTAACCTTTCGTCTCGAATAGTCTTTTTTTTTTTTTTTTTTTTTTTTTTTTTTTTTTTTCTCTGCATGGATTCTTCAAAGTTATTCTTCGCTCTGTGCCTTGGTTCCTTACCACCTATTTCTTTATTCTTTATACCCTTGGCATTACTTCCGATTGTGGCTTGCCGATTGATAGTTTCATTATGTTCATGATTATTAATTCTTTCAGTGGATAAAGATGAATTGGTTGCCTCTTCTTACACATCGGAACATTGTCCTTCAATACTAATGTGTTTCCTTTTCCATTTCATCCTTTTTACCATCAAATTATTGAATACATCTTCTTTCTCGGATGTAAATGAGTTGATTTCTATAAAAAATGACATAAGATCCTATACCTTTTGCGTACTTTAAGTTTAGGATTAACAATAACTTCACATCCACGGATGTCTTGTACGCTGCCATCTGTAGCTTTTCTCATCCAACTTTTTAGCATATACATAGAAGGTAATTCATTAAAATAATGAGTATCGTCTTTAAAAACTTTAAATACATGGCTGCATAAAATACCATCCATTGCATATTTCCAGCACCAACAACTTAGAAAGCCATCATCCCACCTTGTCATACTCCAATCCATATTACCGCCATGAACAGATACATTTTCATCTAAAGTTGTTCCTACCACGGTAGTAACCACACAAGCTTCTATGAATTGGTCCTGGAAAAGTTTAAATATCTTCAATGTGTACATGTTGCCCACTTGCTTTAGAATTGGATAAATTTGTTTAAGTCTAGGTAGCTTACTGAGTAAACCATACTTAGCTTGATATTCTTTGTGGCGTTTGTCAGACAATAGCCTGTCAAGGTATATGAAGAAATCCAGAATAATCATTTTCCTGGTTAAGTACTTTTTCAAGCAACTATTTAGACTTTCACTCAGCTGTGTTATCCACATTCCAGTGATGAACCAATGTTTAACAATTGGATAGTCTCATTTTTCTCTCAAACTAAACAAATTGTTCAACCATGTATTACCAACAACATTGTAGTCCCTTAATATTACATCCCATTGTATACAAAAATCATCCTCATCATCATAACAATACATGAATTGACTCAGCACACTTTTAATCCTTTTATCATTCCTAAAAATAGGTGCCTACATGCTTCTATGCATTTGCCATGATATGCCACGTGCAAAGTAGATGTCTCGTCCTCGGCATAACTTGTGCCAACGCTTTTGCCATTGCTGCATCTTGGTCGGTAATAATCGTTTGTGGAGCTTTATCTAACATCACATTAAAGAATATATAAAAAAAGGCATGTAAATGAATATGCAATCTCATCATACATCATTACTAATATTTTCAAATTATTAGAAATTTTAAAGGCAGGAACAAAACAATATAATACACATATTATATGAAATTTTCATTAAAATTATGCCCCTATAAAATATCTCCATTTCAAAAAGTATTTCACATAAAAGGATGAAAAAATGCTCATGTTAAATTATTAATGGCTTAAAGCTCACACACACACACAGATTTCGACAACGATTGGAATGCTTGTTCTCACATTATTGGCAGTTAAGTCATTGTCTATCAGTATAACTTAAATATGAATCCTACAACAAACAAAAGTTCCATCAGAAGGTTAGAGTCAGTTAGTATAACTTGTGACAACAAACAAAATACTAGATATTTACCAAAATAATGAAAAGGGCCAAAAAATAGTGCCCAACAAAAATAGAGTATCCATTTTTTTTTTTTTAACTAGAAATAGCTCTGTTGTAGTTAAAAAATTTAAGTTAAAAATAAAACAGTCTGTTACTTTCAAAAACACAGTTTCATATGTTAATTTAAAGAGTTTCATCCCAAGGTTGAAGTCATTTAGGCTAACTTTAAAAGACTTGACAAAGTTTGGTATTGTTTGTCATTTGTTCGATCACCACTTTCACCCTCAAAATAATATATTCACATAGTACTGAAAAATTAATGTCGCATATAAGTATAACTCATTTCAACATATTATTATGTTGTTATTTATAAACTGACTTGAGGAAATTCATCAATTCTTTTATACCTTGCCATTAGTTAGTCAAAAAATTTAATACAATGGAAGCACGGTATGATATCCTTCAAAGCAACGTGGAATACGTGCAGGGAACAGAGAGCATTTGTATCTTAGTGAGGTACCTCCAATTTTTTGGGCTAGATTTATGTGTGACATTAGTTAGTTAGCATTATGTGAATACCTAATTTCGATGGTGAAGGTGGTGAGTGTGATTTTTTTTTTTTTTTTTAAATGTATATAGGCTCTCGATCGACATGAAATGGCTACACGTCGACCGATTGGGGGATGGTCGACGTCTCGTCCTTAGCATCGACTGATTTTTTAGGCTACATTTATGTGTGACATTAGTTATTCAGCACTATGTGAATACATTCTTTTGATAGTGAAGGTGATGAATGTGGCAATTAATATTAAACTTTGCCATTTTTTTTTTTCTTTCATAAATATCAAATAATAACATGTGAAATTTGTAATTGCCACGTACATTTAATACCAAAATTTTTCGATAACACATTGGTACCTAATGAAGCCAACTTTGTTCGAATAATCAATTATGGAAGATTTCAGATCTGCTAGAATGGTTTATTGAAGATTATAGAACAAAACCCTACAAATAAACCCCTTAATCAATGTCAATTTCAAGTGAAAATATCATAATTTACAGTAACAAATGACAAATCAAAGAATCATAATTTCAGTTCTAAATCTCATAATTTCAGTTCTAAATCTACAATGTTCACCGTATTTTGAACAATAAATGAACATACTATTAAATACACAACATTAATAACATTTATTAAGCCTTACCAGCTACGTGTAGTTTTATTTCCTATAGATGTAGAGGAGAATCTTCTTGAAGAATCAACTATTTGTGGAAGGAAATCATTGCCAAATTTTGAAGGTTATAAATCTCAAATTCTAAAATATATCTCCAATTTGGTAATAGGTATTGTTAACTGAATCTAATGACCGTCGGGATTTGATTCAAAGAAGGAATTGCAAAATAAAAATGCAAGCAAAGACTACAATATGGATTTTGATTCAAAAAAGGAAAGAAAAAAATAAAAAAATATAAGATTTTCATAGAATGAAAAGGAAAGGAGGGAGGAATTAGGGTTTTGAATAAAAAAGAAATTAAAAAGCAATAATACACCATGCTTTTGATGGAACCAGAAGTAAAGGAGAGAGGAATTAGGGTTTTGATTCAAGAAGTTAAAAAAGAAATAATGAAAGAAAACGAAAAGGGAAGGAGAAAAGTAATGAAAGGGGTGAAGAGAAGTTGCCAAAGAAATTGGAACAACAATGAAAGAGAACAAGGCGCCAATTTGCCCTTTGTGGTATTTATCTAGACCATTTAATCCGAGAGAAATCATATTGGTAATGACCTCTTAACTAATTTTTTAATTGATTCATTTCAGAATTCCGAAGTTTCTTATGGCTTAATTCGAAATGAAATATACCTTCTGTTCTAAAATAATCCTTTATTGTATTCTTACAAAAAAAATAAAGAGGTTTTCAATTTTTTCAGATTTTTTTTTTTTTTGGCCAAGCGTTAAGTTCACTGTTCAGTTAGTTGCCCTATTTTTTTGGGCCAAGTCAAACAAGGCCTTAAATCGCGCAATGGGACCGCATCGGAATTCACTTCAGAGGATTTTCGCCCGTTACCTCAGCAATCCAACCGAAACCCCTGCACTTCTTCTCCAATGACGCTACTCTCCTCTCTCTTCTTCTCCATTCCTCATTCCTTCATCCCTTAAACCCTACCCTAACTCTAAGCCTAGATTTCGTATTCCGTCAAGAACCCTCCTGAGAAGGCTAAACTCACCACTAAACCACCGCCTCCTTCTAAAAAGAAGTCTCTTGCAGTGGCCACCGACGATCTCTTCCTTTGTTGATTGCTAATTGGTTTCACAAATGATCGATGGAGGTTGTAGGGATCTTTCTACGGCCGATCCTTGAGATGCTCGTGGTGTTAATGGAGGATCTCATCGACTTGTTTACGATTTGGATGATTTGCTTCACGATTTGGTTACTCAAATTTTGTGACGCGAGGCAGAATTTCAAGGTAGCACCACTCCTCCTAGTAAGAAAACTCTTCCCAACTTGTTTCACACGCTGCACAACTCCTGCTGTTACGCTTGAAATGATTTGTTTCACAATTCCTGTGAGATTGTAGCTTGTCAAGTACATCCATTTCAAGTTTCATTTCGAAAATAGTTGAACTCACTACACCATGCTAACTCTAATTCTTCGAGGTCCTGCTTAGCCCTTAAATTCGTCTCATTTGCATCTCGAACTTTATACATTTTGCAATTCTGTAGTATAAATACTTCCCCATAAAAGACTTAGATTTCTCAAGTCTTTTAGTCCTGGCCCATTATGTTTGCAAACAAGGAATTCTGACAGTTCTTGCAAATTCATCAATCTACCAATCTCTGAGCACCTCTCTCATAATTGCAGACTACCAGCAATGTCAAGATTGTGTAGGTTAATTAAATTTCCAATTTTTGATGGCAACATACAAAGCTCTTTGCAATAATAGTGTTTCTAAAGTTTAGAGAGTACTCACCGATTCAGTTAACCATTTGATTGAAGTCCCTGATAAATTAAGATACCTTAGATGTTTCAAATCACCAACCGAGTCCGGTAGCTCAGTTATGGCATAACTAGACAAAGACAGCACCCTTACACATTGTAACTTTAGAAATAAATCAAGCAAAATCTTGTTTGATAAGTAGCCTCTTCCAGGATGTAAAAAGTAGCCTCTTCCAGGATGTAAAAAGTAGCCTCTTCCAGGATATACTACCAGTAATGTCAAGATAGTGTAGGTTAATTAAATTTCCAATTTTTGATGGCAACACACAAAGTTCTTCAAAGTTGCGTGTTAACTGTTTGATTGATAAATTAAGATATGTCATATGTTTAAAATCACCAACTGAGTCGGGTAGCCCAGTTATGGCATAACTAGACAACACTTTATAAAGAGGCTTGAACTTTTGAAGGACTTCATATTCTTCATGAATAAATGAAAAGGGTCTAGTTCGTTTAGGAATTTCAAATTGCTTATCACCTTCCAACTTTTCCAGCCTAAAGAGCACATATCCTCAGCAACATACAGAGCTAGATCATTTAGAAGGTCATGGCATCATGCATCATAAACAAATCATGTGATTTTTGGAAAAATGACCTTGATAATATATCATCAAACCATTCATCATCAAGACCTACCGCCATCCACGACAAAAATAGCTCAACGATCTCACACAATAAGCTTGCATTTCTTCAACTGAGATGGGAGATGATGATAACTTAGTCTAAGAGTTCGAAGAATATGACTTTTTTGTTCAAGTAAATCCCATATCTCGCTATTCAATACATTTACTCACTATTTCCTCACTTATAACTTTGAGATCTGGATGTGCATTAAAGTTTCGTCTCCGGAGTGAAAGTTGAGCAAATAAAGAAAGACACTCATCTTTCGAACGCTCATTCAGAGGGTAACTCGGAGACAGACTAATGGTTGATGCAACGTTTCCATGGCTAGTTGTGATAATAATTTTTTTTCCCATGTGCTCCAAACGTAAAAGGATGTTGTCGGAACTCTCGCAATGCATACTTCTCATTCCAAACATCATCCAAATCTTGAAGAAATCTTTTCCCTGGCATGCACTCCTTTATTTTCACTTGAAGCATATTTTGAGTCTCGAAATTATGAGTTTTTGAAGTGCCCGCCTCAAGAATTGTATTTGCTACTCTTAATAACATCATAATCATTAGAAACACAGACCCACTCCTTGAGATCAAACGACCTTCCAGACGTTCGTTATCATAAACCATCAAAGCGAGAGTTGTCTTAACAACACCTCCCATGCCCACAATGGGAATGATAGAAACTTTGTCAATATTAGTTTCATCCCTCAGGGCCTCAACAACAATTGAAGTATAGCCTCTTTGTCATTTTTCTGCCATAAACTTGAGACTTGTCTACCAAAGAAGTTGTTTCGTTGGCTGATCCAGAACTATATAGGGCAGCTAATAAAGATGATTTGGAAGCTCTACTTGTAGGTGTGGGTGGCTATGGCAGGTCTCATCGGTTTTATCCATCAGGTGAGAAAACTAGCTGTGTGTGAGTATCCATTTTTTCACTTATCAAAAAAAAAAATGAAACGTCTTTCTTTTCCTCTACTATACTTTTTAGGTTTGATTTGAGTTTTTATTTTATTTTATTTTATTTTTTAAATTATGTGTTTTATTTAATTATTTATTTTTTAAAAAATAAAATTTCTATATTGTATTCGAGACCAAATAGGAGACTCCTCTCACTCGAAGGATCTCTATTCATCTCACACCACAAACCCCACCATAAACAAAAGGGAGTGGCCCTCCAAGCATCTCTGACTTAGCTCTCCACTATATACATTTTCCAAGATTCTAACGTGTCCACCATGCATTCTTGAAAAACTAAAGCTAGACCAAAAGCAACCAAAAACATAGACCAAACTTTCCTCTCCCCTAGGTAATGAAGCAGAAGATGATTTACAGATTCATCCAACTTCTTACACATGCAACACCAGTTTACCACAATATGACGTCTCCTTCTAAGGTTGTCAAGGGTGAGGTTAATCCCCAGGGTAACAGAATAAGAGAAAAATGCCACGTTCAAGGGAGCTTTCATCCTCCAAATAGCTTTCCAAGGAAAAGTGGGGACAGGAAGATCCATAAGACTTTGAACCTCAAACCACCCTCTCGAGGTACCCATCCACCCACACGATCTTGTCCATGCCCACACCATCCACCACCTGGCAATACAATAGACATGGTTTGGGGAACTTTATTTTAGAAGAAAAGCCCACTCCTTTCTCACGGTAATATCTTATATATATATACAAGAGTACAGAAATAATGAAAAGACTATAACACCCCTGTGGGAACTAACACCCCTGTGGGAACTAATTTCAAGTGTCCTAGTGATATTCTAACAGAAATCTGTAATTCGAAACATTCCCAATCACGGAACTCTAAACAAAACTGCACATTCTAAGTCACCCTCTCACATGTTTGTTCATAGAATTCCTGAAGAGACGAGGAAACCTACGAGCCAAAGCAAAGTCCCCACACCATTTGTCCTCCCAAAACCTGACATGCCTTCCGCTCCTAACTTTGAAACTAATGTGTTTGCAGAACTCGTCCCAACCCCTTAGGATAAGTTTCCACGTACCCAGTCCTACTAGGATTCTTGCCTTCCATTATGTGTATTGATTCAAAACTTTGGACTTACGGCCTGAATTTTGGGTTTTTACTGAAAATTGCACAAATTGGGTGACAAAATTGAACTTATCTGAGTCTCTATCTTCATCTCTTGTACTATTTTAGGTTTGAGTTAAGTTTGAGTTTGAAATTCTATGTTTTGAATCAAATGCTTTGAATCAGAGCATGAATTTGAATTATTACTGATCATTACATGATTTGGGTGAAGAAATTGAGATTTCTCTTTGGAGTGAGTCTGATATTTGTTGGAGTTCGATTTTTCTTACTTTCTTTTTTACTTGTATTTTTGTTGGATTGAATTTACCTATTGGGGAATTGGGTTGGGGCTTATACAGTTGAATGGATTTTGTATTTTGGACAATAGAGTTACTCGTTAAAATGACAAATTAACCTAAAATGTAGATTGGGAAACTTTGAAAGACATTCCCTATGTTTTACATATTCAAAATAAAATTTGGATTGGAGTATTCAGTTTCTTTTTAACTATTTGAAAAGTTGAAGGAAAGATGTGTTCTTTCTCTTGGCGTGAAGCGATGGAGTTTTAGCCTCTGATAGCGAGTCTCATGTTTTGCAGTTTGGTTTGATTAAATATGATTAAAGTGGGATGGTGAAGTGACTGCTTTGATATTGGTTTGATAGGGTTCCAACAATCACATGCCATAACAACCATCCTCGGATCCACCATTATAAGTGTTAGATAGTTGGAGAGTTTGATTTGGCTCTGATTCCAAGTTAAAGATGGTGAGATGGTGTTTCTAGGGTTAGTGAGAGCAGAAGTGGAGAAGAAGAAGAGAAGAGAAATAATATAATCGTGGAATAGAAAGCTCAACTTGAGATTCTACACCACTCCAATATTATATTGAAATAGCATGATTACAAAATAGCCCTTAAGCCTACAGTAAAGCCTACAGTACAATAAGACCCAAACTCTCTAACTATCTAACAATAAGTATAGCTATGATCTATTAACTACATATTTGTTGGTCTATGTACTACTAGGGTATGCACATTTAATGTCAAAATCCAATTTGAGCTATCTCATTTTAAGCTGTGAGCTCAATATGCATCATATCAGTATTTATGACCATAGTGTATGCTGCTAGTGTCTTTACATCAGTTCTGGTTTTGAAAAACTGTTATCTTCATTTGTCAGAATAGAATGTCTGCTAGTGTCTAAACTGCATATATTTAGCATGCTAAGCTGCAGATTTTAGTCACAGCTGCTATCAAGATCATGAGGTGAACTCTTTCTTCATATCTGGTCTTTTGAGTCAATTTCTGGGCTAAGCAAGTCACAAATCTCATTCTAAGCCTAGTCCGGGGCTACACCAGTAAATGGTAAGGCTGCATCAAAATCTCACCTAGTAAACCTAGCCATTAGTGTCTATTTTCTGCTATTAAGTCTCCGATGAAGCTGTCAAGTGTTCCACATACAAATCTGAGTCCCATCTTGATGTGAGCATGTGTAAATCATCAATGCATAGCTGTTCAAGCCATCATCAAGAAGCAACTGAGGCTGTCTCATGTTCTCACTACTCAAACGTCAGACTGTGGTAACAGCAGCTTCAGTAAGTGTTACTGCTCTAACCCTTCAAGCTAGTTGTATTGTGAATCTTATCTCAATCTGCTTGAGTGCTTCATTTATCTTTCTTAGTTGATATTGTGAGTGAAAATTTAATCACTGGGGTGCCGTGAGTGAAAGTGTATGTGTGGTGCTCAATTTTACTCACAGTGGAATTTTGAGCTAGGCTTTAATGCCTCGAGGATGTTTCCCGTATTCTAGGGGTTTTACCTCATAAATCTGGCCTTGTGATTGCTCTTCATTCTTCATTGGCATTTTAATTTTTAACAAACAGTTGGTGACAACTAGGGTTTCATTTAGGACTTTCATCAAACAACCACACATTGCATGTGTACATAGACCCTAGTTTTGTCAATTCAAGTTTACACACAAGTCATATTTTAATTTTAGAAGTCATTAAAAATCAGTTTAGAACAATTCCCCCTTTCTTGGTCCTTCAATATTGTTATTTTGTTCAGATTAAATCTATTTATTTTGTAAGCATTTTTGTATATCTAGCCTACAAAGTTAGGGTTAGCAACATTAGCTCCAAATAATCTCAATATAGGATTGAGTAATTTTGTTAGAGTTTTTGTTATGTTTTCTTGTCAGATTGATCATATATAGATGCCTTTATATTATGCACATATATACTATGTTTCTGTAAGATTTGTTTTCCTTCTTAAAATTGTTTTGGATACAGATTTAGTAAGGCATAAGAAATGCATGATTTTTTTTTATACAGGGGTCTTTTTATCATCTCAATGACAATTTACTATTAAATTTGGCAACCAGAGGTCGAGAAGAGTTGAAGTTCCTAAGCATGCATATTTTCATAGATTTTGTGTAGTTCTGAATCAAATCAGTATAAATTGTGACTAGTGTGCTTATTGCCTAATTTTTCTTTCTGCAATTGTTTTCACATGGTGACAATTCCATACGGAATATTATCACTGCCTAAACCTCATAGATGATTTCATGTGGTTTTTGTGTGTCTAATTTCTGTCTTTTGTTTCTAAATAAGTTTGCAGAAAAAAAATTTAATACAAAGAAGGTTTTGTTGTTTATTTCATTGATTGTGGTTTGTCTCCTATGTAGAATCTCTTGACTAATTGCTTTTATTTACAGGGTTCGCAGTTTTTGAGCAATGCAAAAGCATCTATAGATTGATTTCAATAAGCCAATCCCAATTTGGTACTCAATCTCAGGTAAAATTTTCTTCTTGCCTTTTTTTTTTTTTTTTTGAAAGGTAATTTTCTTTTTGTCTTTCATACCATAATAAAATGATTTCGGTTTTTGAAGCCCTACTACGATGACTTCTCTATTTTTTAGGAGCGATAGTTATAATTTGTGTTAAAACATCGTCTATTTAGGATTTGGAATGACTATATCACGTTAAAATTCCATTTGGAATTTCAGTTGTTGAGGATTTAAGGTTTGATTTTTATTGTTAATTGAAAATTTCATCACTGAATGATGAAAATTTGGCCTCAGCAGTCTTCATCTTATGCTGAAATTTGTCTGTATTTCAAATCTTTGTTAGTATTTAGTCTTGCTATCTTACAAGTAATAGAGAAAGAGTGGGGACTGGGGAATGTGACTTCTATTTTTATTTGATCAAGTGTAAAGGGAGAGGTGTTCTTCAAAGTTGACCCAAATCTGCATTCTGCTTTTTCTGAAAATATAGTCCAAGTAACCTTGAGTTGGTTCGGTTTTGGCAAGGGACGCTCCGGTGTCATACTCTGATACCAATTTGACGTCGGAAAATTGTGGAGAAATACGAGGTAACACAAGTGAACAAGAAAGATAGAATTACTCACCACCCAATGGAATCCACCAAAGGGATACAGAGTAAGGATAACAAGAACTCCTTAAAAGCCAAAGGCTCAAATATCATTCAAATTCATTAAAAACTCCCTTCTAATACACCAATAGCAGCTTAAATAGAAGTATGGAACAACCCTCCAGCAATCGGTAGATTTCCAAAACAAATTACTCAAAAAACCAAGCAAAGAAAATGAAAAGACATGAGACTTCTTTGACTCACAACTTACTAGACTTAATTAAAGACTTAAGGACTTGAAACTCGATCAAAAGAAGTTCTAAAAATCAGAATAATAAACTTGGAAACAAATCAAAAGGAGCTGGAACCGAGAAGAGAGTCTAAAACAACAAGTGTCTAATTTCCAAGTGCAGAATTTTCAGTCAGCAAAAATGCCTTTAACCAAAAAAGCCATATCTCCTTCTAGGAATGTCCAAATTGTGCACTGTTTTTTTGCATTGGAAAGTAGACTTCTAGATCTTTCCAACCATAGCTGGCTCTGCAACAAATTCTTTCGGGAGTGTTCTTGGCTGGGCTTCAAAGTTGATCCAAATCTGCATTCTATGTTTTCTGAAAAATATAGTCCAAGAGTAACCTTGAGTTGGTTGGGCTTTGGCAAAGGATGCTCCGGTGTCATACTCCCCTGGTTGATGAAAACTCGTCCTCGAGTTTGGAAAGAAAAAAATCATCATAAATCCCGATAATAATTTTCCTTATCTTCTTTCTTCGTTTCCGCACTAGAGTAAAAGATATTAATCTTTTTGTACCAACAAATATTACCCTTGCATAATGAAAATGAGTTGTCAATGCTCTCATTTGAAGTTCAACAGATTTGGCAAACTTGGTTGAGCACTTACCATTAATTAATATTTGAATCTTTATTTTTGCTTTCAATGTACTCCGCTTAATTGTATCACGCTCAAGAACTCTTCCCAAATTATGTCAATAAAGTGAAATTGATGGTCTTTCAACTCCTTGCATGCCAACGTAGGAATGTCATCATGAAACTCACATAAAAATGAATGCATCAAAGGTTAGACTTCAAGCTTCTCTCACTCTTTCATTGTTTTTGTGGTCACAACATTTTCACAAATTATTTCATCAAAAATCACATTGCACTCTTTTTGAGGAATGACTCGGGGCTGTTCTTGATCTCCAAAAATTATTTCACCTTCTTTAAATTCTTCAATAGAGCTGGATGAATCTTCCTTTGGCACCTCTTCTATATGGGTTGCATTCATACTTCTAAGGTTGACTAAACACACTCCTTGGTCTGCATAGGTGATTTCATCTTCATTTTCCGAATCTTCATTATGGAAAAATTCTTTTTCGGACTCCTCTTCCACCACCTCTTCAACTAAGGCAACTATCTTGCTGTTAGGACACTCGGAGGCTATGTGACCAAATCCTTGGCCTTAAATGTTTTGACGGGAACTAGGACGTGCTGAACTAGTCACACTATCATGTTTAGGGACTGATTTTTGGATTGGTGTTCTAGACACAGAAGAGGACCTTGAACGTACTAGAAGAACTTCCACTGCTAGAAGAGCCTCCTTGTCTTGAAGATGATCGATAACCATGTCCTTTCTTCTTATGTTGGCGTTCCACCTTGAGTGCAAGCTTACAAACATCATTAATAAGCCAATAAGGTTGCAATTAGACAATGTCACCAATTTTGGACCGAAGACCCCCAAGGAAACAAGCAATAGTTTGTTCTTCCGGCTCGGAAATATTTTCTGAGCATCACACTTATCAAAAAATATTTTCTGAGCATCATATACAATAGAGCAATGAAGATTGCCACTGATGCAACAATGGCTGGAAGGACATATTTGTAAGGAAAATGTTTAGTTCTTGAACTTGAGCATGGCGGAACTTGTAAAGTTGGTTGCCCACAAAGTGCTTCATTCTTTATAAAAGATTCCACTGTAAAATTTGCAAAAGGACCTCCACTTGGAATCTCCCCTGATAGCTTATTGTAAGAGAGATTCAAATATTTGAGATGTGAAAGTGCCTCTAGAGACTTGGGTATAGAACCAGATAGGTTGTTGTGGGAGAGGTCCATGAAAGCTAGTGTTATCAAGTTGGCAAATGAATCAGGTATGGGTCCTGAAAATGAATTCCCTGGCAAGTTGATAGAATTTAGACTCTGAAAGTCTCCCAAAGTGCTTGGAATGTTACCTGAGATTTGGTTCCAAGACAAATCTATGGCTTCAAGTGACTTTAGTGCTCGAATGTTGGGATCTAGGGTTAACGAATTGAATGATAAATTCAAGAACAAGAGATCATCCAAGTTCCATAAACTCAATGGTATTGACGAGTTCAATGAATTAGAATCCAAGAATAACCTCTGCAACCTACTAACATTTCCGATGCATGCAGGGACTGATCCGGAGAGGTTATTGTTATGGAGACTAATTTCTCCCAAGTTGCGCAAACTACAAATCTCCTTTGGAATGGATCCTTCAAGCTTGTTATCATCAAGGTACAATTTTTGTTGCTCTTTCATACCCTCAATTGTAGACGGAATGGATCCACTTATCAAAAAAAGATTGTAGACGGAATGGATCCGTTGAAATTGTTGCCACTCAAGATAAGTCAAGTTTTTAAAGGAACCAATTCCCTTAGGAATTCGACCCATTAGTTGGCAATTATATGCATCAAACATGAGGAGGGAACTAGAAATATTTCCAAAAGAATCTGGTAAGACACCGTGGAATGGATTATCACGTATAAACAACCTTTTCAAGGATTTCAAGCTTGTCAAAGAAGTGATAAAACTAAGTTCCTGACTTCTCGGTTCTATATTTAACTGGTTACTCTCTAGATTAAGTGTTGTCAGTGATTCTAAGTAGCCTAGACTGGCGGGTACTGTTCCAGTGAACTGGTTGCCACTAAAATCTAAAATAGTGAGCATTGAAAAATTGGACAGATAGGAAAGGATGTTTCCACTCAGTTGATTTTCTCCAAGGGTAAGAAATTCAAGATTAGAAAGCCAAGAAGTACTGCTCAAGGGAAGATTTCCGGAAAGGTCATTATAATCTAAATGAACTCGTTGGATAGAGGAGATGTTGAATAAAAATGGAGGAACTGACCCAGTGAGATAATTTCTACCGACATTAATTCCTTCGAAACTTGGAACATTACGTATCACATTAGGAATATTGCCATGAAACTTGTTTTCTTCCAAACCAAGCCGCTTTAAGCTTGATATGTTTGCAAAGAAAGATGGAATTGTACCTGTGAGGTTGTTTCCTCCTAGACAAGGTACTCAATTCTTTGGGTATGCTGCCAGTAAATTCATTCCCTGCCATTGATATGACTTGAAGCTGTCCGCAGTGGTGTAAACTTGTAGGGATCATCCCCTTCTAAGTAGTTATGATCCAATATGAGTACCTTCAAGCGACGGAAATGGCTGATCTTGTGAATAAGTGGACCACGAAAATTGTTAGCAACAAGACGCAGCTCCCCGAGGAAGGGGAGGTTACCCACGAGGGGAGATGGTGCCATTGAGTCCAATGCCATAAAGCTACAAAGCTGTGACTCTCTGCCTGTGTCGGCAGCTACATGAGACCCCAACCCATTGGCAAAAGTTGGTTGTTTCAGTCCAGTTACTCCCCAAAACGTTGTTGGGGTCGAACGTGATTGCGGACTTGAAAGCAAGAAGAGCAGACTCATTGGTGTAGTTCGACGAAAACATGGCACGACAAACCGTGCAAGACTGCAGTAGCTGAAGCACTAATAGTAGCAAGGCGCTGCCAAACCTCTCCATATATCAAATATCTTCCCTCAAGGTTACACACACACACACACTGATGAGTGCATCACTTGAACTGCACAACACACCCTGCATAAAAGAAATCTAGAAAAAGGGAAAACGAGAAGTGTACAAATCTTGACCGGCTTTGGTTAGAATGAAGCCGCAATTCAAGTCGTCTTTGAGTGAGATCTATCCTAGAAAAATAGAAAATGAGTAATGTACAAATTTGGGGTTGACAGTGCCATGGCTAATACTATATATATATATATATATATATTTAAGTGAACTTCATTAAAGCTATATTTGAGAGCAATGAATTGGTGTTTAAAATTTAGAATTGGGAAAATTTAGTTTCAAGTTTTAATTAAATTTTCACCAGTTATAAATCTAAAGCGTCAATTCGGTGCTTTCAAATGCAATGTAACTACAAATAACAAACAGTATTGTGATAGCAATAATTATGAAAATTAAATCTATTAAACTTTGGATTCTTTTTCTTTTTTTCCTTTATTTTATTATTATTTTTTATATAAAAATAATGGATAAAAGTTACTAAGATGGCCATCTGAAATCCATTTTTTATTTTTTTAAGTGTTACTTAAAGAAGGAACGTACTATGATGCAGCAAGATGGCAAATTAATAAGTAAATGACATAAAGCTTTTTATTCAATCAAACAAGAAAAAATAAATTTCAATGGGTCGGAAGACCTTATGCTGCGTTTTAGTTGAAAAATCAAAAGAAACAGCGCGTTTTACTTGAAATAAAATGGTTTAACGTAACAACAAATAACAAACGTTTTATTTGAGGATATGAGGTTATACTATCAGGCCAAAGGTCCTTCATTTTCCATTGCTTATGATTGTCTAGAATTTTTGAAATTACCCACCATGGGTTTGTCTAGAACCTAAGAATTAAGCATATGGGATATTTTTCCAGATAGCTTATTGCAAGATTGGTTGAAGCAGAGCTAGATATTTTGATATGGGGACTAAAATAGAACTGTGTAATTAAAATTTGAATAAATTATAAATCAATTGTAGTATTTTTTTTTAATATTAGTCTTAATATATTTATTGAGGAAAATATAATCCAAAAAATGATTAAAATGCAACTGAAATAAATAGAAATGAAAAATTGATATGACAAAGAAAAGACATGGAGAATAGGAAATGATGAGTTACATATAAAAAGAAAAGTGGTAAAAAAAAGTTATTGAAAAATTAATTTTCCTTGAGCAATTCTTTTAATTTTTTTTTTATTATAAATATTGAATACCTTTATTCCACCTTGAGAAAGATATATCATTATTACCTTGATAAAAATTAATAAAAAAATGTACCACATATATATTTTTTTGATAAGTAAGAATTCACGTCCTTCAAAAGAATCACAAGGCTAAATAGGACCTCTAAACTCTCAATAAATCCAAAAACTCTACAAGGTCATTCAAGGATTTACAATTTCTTCCTAGAACCCAACCAAAAAAAGAGTGCTAAGAATGGAGAACTTCAACGACTCGATATTGTTTTCCTTTCCTTCAAAGGATCTCCTATTTCTTTCAAGCCATAGACACCACCAAATGCACAATGGAGTAGCCCTCCAAGAATCTCGAACTTGAGTCCCCACAATACAACCTCTCCAAACCTCAATCAAGGCTCTAGCAGACCGTGACATAACCCAATGAATCCCAAACAAACCCACAAACAAAAGCCAACAATTTCGGGCGACTAGGCAATGTAAAAGAAGGTGATCGACCGTTTCCTCATCATTTTTGCACATAAAGCACCAGTTGACCACGATCTGTCTTCTCCCTAAAGATTGTCCTAAAAATGCTACTTTGAGAGGAGCACTTGTATGCCAAATTGCCCTCCATCAGGAGGACTGTCCAAGAGCATCCATAAGACAACAACAAAACGATAGAGCATCGAAACGTCAATGTGCAGATGAAACCCAAAAACAAAAATCAGAATCCTCCTCAGCTATCTCCTGATGGTACCAATAGCTCCAAAATACCAAATGCATCCTCCATCTCCCAATCCTGAAACAATCTCATGAAACGTACATCCCATAACGTTCTTCCACTATCAATGCGATAGAAGTCAACCGCCATGGCGTGCCTATCAATAGCAATCCTATAAAGTTTAAGGAATGTGATAGCAAGGGACCGATCCCCACACTAAATGTCATCCCAAAAACGTAAATGTACTATTTCAACTAAATTAAATCTTGCAAGCTTTAATAAAATACGATTATTAGGAACAAAATTGAGAAGTACTTTAATAACTTATACAAGTATTGGATGTAAAATTTGTCATTTATCAACTGAGAACTAAAAAAATTAGCTTGTATGATACTATTGTTGTTATTGGCATTTTTGCCATCTTGGTATCATAACACTTTAGTTTCCCTTTCTTCCCATAGCTCGAAAGACTCGCACATAGAGATTAGCATATAATTAAACATATTTTTTTGGTAATCACTATATAACAAAAATGTGTGGTGATAAAGGTCTTGTATATTTATTGAAGATGAGGGGATGTTAGTATAATTTCTTCTTTTCTTATTTTATTTTATTTTATTTTATTTTTTATATATTTTTTTTTCCTCTCTTTGAGCTTATTTACAAAATAAGTATTTTTAAACAGTATAAACAAAAGTTTTGATTTTTTTTTTTTTACAAAGTTCTGAGTAATGTTTCTATAAGTTTCTTTTAGACAATTTTATCTTTTTATTTTCTGTGAAGACAATTTGCTCCTCCTTTTTAAAGTCTTCTTATTATCAAATATAGTAACACTCCATCAAAAAAGTAGTGTTGTAAAATTAGTAATAGAAGTGCTATAAACAATATTGTTTAAAATTACTTTAATTGTGAAAAACCCTGTATATAACGTGTCAATGAATAAACCACATATACCATTGTACAACTCAATATTAAGCATGATGTGAGAAAAACCGGATCAGAAATCGATGTCCTTTTCAAAAACACATCAACCAATCTAACAATTTAATTATCATAATGTGTGCATTCATCGATTCAGAGTCTTCTATATATATATATATATATTATTGAAAATGTTTTCTATCAACTCAATCAAGGACAGTATTTAAGTTCTGTTTTATAAAATTGAAATTTAGGTGCTGAAGATTATAAGAAGTTGCATTTTCTTCTCGTTTTCTCAAGAGAAATTTGTTTAGTTTATTGAAAACTTTAAACAAATCATCATTGAGCAAATTCAATTATGAAGTTTCATTCACTTGAAAATTGACTCATTTCAAGTGAAATATATTTTTTAGTGACACCAAAATTACTTTGTGAAATGCACTTAATTACAAATCCACTTAATATGCTCAATTTTAAGTGTTAAACTGGTTTATCAAAAGACCTCAAGACTTAAAATGAATGTTACAACTTGATTAAGTCTTCAACACTGAAATTACCAACATACTGCCGCCAAGTCTTAAACTCAGAGCATACAATTTGATCATGAAAATGTAATTAACTACAGAATCACCAAAACAAAGATGCGATCATTTTAAAAAAGATTGACAAACAGATACAAAATTAAGGGAACAAAATAAATTCTAAATTCTAAGACAAGATGGAATCATCTTGATTACTGACCCCCATCATAAAACTTCACATTTCTCACAAGACTACTGTTAAAAACCAAACGATCTGCCCCAGTTGCTGAACTCCTCCAAACACCAACAAAGTCCTTCATCAATCTTTATTATATATATTTAATGTTATATGTTTTCTCATTCTTACCGTATACGTATCTTTTTTATATATATATATTGTATATATTTTCGCATTCTTACAGATTTTGTATCTTATATATACTCCGTATTCATATTGTGTGATTTCTATATCTTGTAGGGATCTGTGACAGATTTTTCATTGATTCAATTGCTCTAGACTCAAGTATCGTTCAAGTGATCTAGTACGCGAGCCATATGCAAGATTGAATTATTGGACAATATAGAAACAAAAAATCATATTAATATCATAAAAGATAAGGCTTCCGCAGTAATTCTTCAGTGACTAACTCATAAACCAGAAGTTAAAACTCTTGAACAAGCTAGGACAGAGAATGTGCAAAACGGAGGTACACAAGCATCAAAGCCTATGAGTACTCCATTTAGACTTTTGGCAGGATTGTCACCATAGACCGAGGAGGAGGTGGATCACATGTCTCGTGTTCCTTATGCTAGTGTAGTTGGTAGCATATGCACTAGGCCAATCATTTCAGATGCAGTGAGTGTAGTCAGCAGATATATGGATAGAATTGGGAAGGTCCATTAGCAGGTGTAAAGTGGATATTGCGGTACTTGTAAGGCATTGTAGAGGTTGGCGTAGTACTATGAACAAGGCAGTGACACGATTGAGAGTGTTTTTGGATATGTTGATTCGGATTATGCTGGAGATTTTGATAGGAACACGTCCTTGACATGGTATATCTTTACTCTTTGTGGGAATGTGATCGGTTGGAAGACAACTTTGCAGTCCATAGTTGCACTGTCTACTATTGTGGTTGAGTACATGGCAATTACAGAGGCAGTGAAGGAAGCTATATGGCTGAAAGGTTTGGTTGGTGATTTGGGCTTGCAGCATGATGATTTAATTGTGTTTTGCGACAGCCAGAGTACCATACTCTGACTAAAACTCATATGTTCCATGAGAGGAGCAAGCACACTGATGTCAGGTTGCACTTCATCAGAGACGTGATTGTGCGGGTTGTTGTTGCAGTGAGAAAAATTAGAACAACAGAGAATTTGGAGGATATGATGACTAAGGTTGTTCCTACTATCAAGTTTAGACATCGTGTGGACTTGATTGGTGTCTGCAGTTGCTGAGGCTCTTAGGGGCAAGTGAAGGATGCAAAATGAGTAGCTGGAGATTGTGGAACTTGGTGTAATTCGAGCTAAGGTGGAGATTTGTTACGTGGCCCAAATTTTTTTCAATACATTATTGTCCATGTCTGGAGTCCTTCACAGTTTTGTAATAAAAAAATTTCCACTTCTTGAAATATGGTGCATGGAGGATGGAGGTCACTACCGGCCCAACATATATCGCAACAGAATGACATAAGCAAAGCAAGCTCATGTGTTTTTTTTTTCTATAGTCTCATACATGGCTTTTCTCTTCTTTTAATATATATGCATTCTACTCGTCAAATTTTTGTAGTTGGTGGCCTTGAAGATTGACTATATCCACTTATTCATTTATAGATGGTGTTCTTCCCTCCCATTTTAGCTATATTTATGTGATTAATCTTCTTCTTTATAAAGTTCCACACTGACCTCTGACCTACCCTCTAGGAGGAAATCTCTTTTAAAGAATTCACAAATCCTCAAGCAGTAAAACCTGAAAGCCATCCTTTAATCACTTGGTCACTTGACTTGCTATTAAATTAACCTAATTATTTTGTAGATTTATTGGACCTAGCATAGACACAATTTTAGTATCTTAAGTTTGGTAATCGTTAAACTTGGTTGCAAACAATTGTATCTCCAAAACCTCAAATTTTGAGTTCTTGAAAAGTCTCAAAATTGAGGGATGTGCATATGTTGGCTTAAGTAATAAAATTTTCTTTTTTATGTTTGGTAATCGTTAAACTGGTTCATTTTATGATTAAGATTCATCAAATGTTCAAGCTCAGTTGATGAATAACTTTGGCTAAAATCGAGTATGTATCAATGTGTTTCTCCATGTGTTTTATTAAAATCTATTAAGATCTTGGTGCTATGAGCTTGTTAACTTTTGGATGACTTCGATGTTTTTTATTTGGTGTGTTTTATGCTATTTTATTTATTTATATTTGTTGTGATTATACTAATTGATAGACAAGTTTTCAAGATGGTTGGTTGATTTGATAATAGATGATTTTTATTCTCTAAAAGACAAATTTGATAGGTGATATTCGATCACTTTTATTATTATTATTATTATTATTATTTTAGTTACTAGACATAAGAGGGTAATATTTATACATCCATTCTATGCATGTATATGACAAAAATTGCTAGTTGTATCTTCTATGAATTCAATAGGTAATGAAATACATTTGTTTAAAAATGATCTTAACTTGCATCTTCAGATTCAGTAAATACTTATTCTTCTATCAATGTTTTGGATAATTGTATAGCCCTTTAATTTTATTCATTGCATCATCTTGCAAGAAACCTTATGTCTTGTTTGCCTCAATCACCTAGGAAAAAGAAATATATTGCAGAGCGTTCTTATTTCAACGGTCAATTCAGCTACTTCTGCAGCTTGCTGCTTGTGTAAATGAAACTAATATCCCATTGTCCCACACTTTTTGGGACATCCCAATGAATACCTTTCTGTGTCAAATTTTACAGATCAAAATTAAAGGAAGTGAATTTCGCTTCTTGTTAATGAACTATCTAAATATTATTTGGTCTTGAGGCCTCAGAATAAGATTGTTGTAACTTCGAGTCTGTTGTAACAGGAAATTCTTATGGGAGCTTTGGCTAGTCACCATTGATATGAATACCTTGCATTGTCCCACGCTTTTTGGGACATCTCAATGAATACCTTGCATCTCTCCCACAAAATTGTTCTAGATACTGCTCTTGGTTGCTAACCATATGCGGTTTTTCTTGTTGGATTGAATTGCAGCATGGTTAAAATATCCTTATTTTTAAGGATTTTGATGTGAAAAGGACTGAGAAATATAATTTCATCTTTTTATTATTTATTTATTTTGTATAACTATAATAAATACTCAATATTTATCTTTCTGTTTTTCAGATAAGAATTCATTTGAATAGCTCTTACAATTTTCGAACACAATCCGTTAAGAAGCCGTAAAATTAATAGATTAAGATCATATATCAACAACTCTTCCAATTAACGATGTCAATTAGGTTGTCAAAGAAGTGAGGATGCCAATTAATGACTTCTCCTAAGTTGTTGTTTAGGAGGAAAGATTATGGATTCAATCAACACAGGAAAGAAAAACACAAGGTACATTACAAGGTAAAATGTCCCAACAACCGAAACAGAGAAAAAGAACCAAGAATGCCTGCTAGCTAGCTAGGCAACAAGAGAAAACAACAAAAACAAACCACACATCTTCACTAGAGCTATACACAACACCAATTTGTGGAATTAAAGAAATAAACACGAGCACTTGCATCTTAGAACATTAATGTCGTGTGCACGGCAAAAACGGAAACACACATCAGGAAACCTTAGTTGCAAAGCAGTTGCAATTTGATCTTATCCAGTTTAGCCACCACTTCTTTTATGTCATTTCTTTCTTCGGGTAGGTCTCTGGAACACTCCAACCCTAATTCAATAATAGATACAAAAATGCCTTGTGTGGAACTCATTTCATCTCCTCCTGCTGTCAACAAACCTTTATCAATGACTTCTATTATTTTGTGGGGAAGTGATGCACTCATCCATTGCCTCAGACTTAATTCTTCAGTGAATATTTCATTTCTGGGGTTTTTTCTTGTGAATGTCTCCAACAACATTATTCCATAGCTATAGATATCACCTTTAGTGGACACTCTTCCTTCTGAACCATACTCTGTCGAACATTCATTTTATTCAAGCATGATAAAAATTCATATTGTCATTGTTTACCATTCCTAATCATTAATTAAACAAAAAAGAAAATACATAGATTTTGTAACTGATCATTTGAATGCAATCATACTAAGGATAAATTTTTTCAAAAATATTGAATAATAATAATAATAATGTAGCAAGGGTCTGAGTTTCCATACATATAAAATTGGATATTCTAACAATTTTGAATAAATAAAAATTAAAAAGGAAGTTATGCACAGAAAACATGGTGAATAAGGTTGAAAAAAAATTACCTGGTGCAATGTAGCCGACTGTACCTAAAGTCTCCGTTTGTGTTGCAGTCTTATTTTCAGCTAATATCTTTGCAATGCCAAAATCACTCACATGCGCGACCATGTCTTCATCTAAAAGGACATTGCTAGGCTTCAAATCACAGTGGACAACAGGCTCTAATTGACCTTGATGAAGATACTCCAAAGCTAAAGCCACATCAAGCATAATGCTCACTCTTTGAAGGAGATTCAAGCAGTAGTTGTGAGAATATAACCATTTCTCTAGACTACCATTAGGCATGTATTGCAAAACCAATGCTCTTAACTCCATGTTAGAACATGTACTTATGACCTTAACAAGATTCCGATGCCTAACAGTTCGCAGCACTTTGCATTCTGCTTCAAAACTTTTGAAAGCTTCCTCAAGTTGCAAGTTTAGAATTTTCACAGCCACATTTGTTCCGTCAGAAAGTATTCCTTTGTACACTGCACCAAAACCTCCTATGCCAATCAAGTTCGCTTCACAGAAGTTATTTGTAGCATTACAAAGCTCTTGATATGAAAACAACCTATGGTCCCTTCCGTCTAATGGATTAGAACTTTGTGCTTCTACTTTATTTCCATTATATTTTTTGAGCACCATATACAATAGAGCAATGCAGATTGCCACTGATGCAACAATGGCTGGAAGAACATATTTGTAAGGAAAATGTTTAGTTCTTGAACCTGAGCATGGCGGAACCTGTAAAGATGGTTTCCCACAAAGTGCTTTATTCTTCATAAAAGATTCTGCTGTAAAATTTTCGAAAGGACCTCCACTTGGGATCTCCCCAGATAGCTCATTGTAAGAGAGATTCAAATATTTGAGATGTGGAAGTGCCTCTAGAGACTTAGGTATAGAACCAGATAGGTTGTTGTGGGAGAGGTCCATGAAATCCAGCGTTATCAAGTTACCAAATGATTCAGGTATGTGTCCCGAAAATGAATTCCCTGACAAGTTGATAGAACCTAGACTTTGAAAGGCTCCCAAAGTGCTTGGAATGTTACCTGAGAATTGGTTCCAAGACAAATCTATGGTTCTAAGTGTTTTCAGTGGTCTAATGTTGAGATCTAGAGTAGTTAATGAATTGAATGACAAATTCAAGAACCACATATTATCCAAGCTCCATAAACTCAATGGTATTGACGAGTTCAATGAATTAGAATGCAATGACAACGTCCGCAACCCACTAACATTTCCGATGCATGCAGGGATTGAACCAGAGAGGCTATTGTTGTGGAGTCTAATATCTCCCAAGTTGCGCAAACTGCAAATCTCCTTTGGAATGGATCCTTCAAGCCTGTTTCTATCAAGGTAAAACCTTTGAAGCTCTTTCATACCCTCGATTGTAGACGGAATGGACCCGTTGAAATTGTTGCCACTCAAGATAAGATAATTCAAGTTTGTAAAGGAACCTATTCTTTCAGGAATTCGACCCATTAGTTGGCAATTAGATGCATCAAAATTGAGAAGAGAACTAGAAAGATTTCCAAAAGAATTTGGTAAGATGCCGTGAAATGGATTATCATGTATGGTCAACCTTTCCAGCGATTTCAAGCTTGACAAAGAAGTGAGAAAACCAAGTTCCTGACTTCTGGGCTCTATAGTTAACTGGTTATGCTCGAGACAAAGTGTTGTGAGAGATTCTAAGTGGCCAAGACTTGCGGGTACTGTTCCAGTGAATTGGTTGTGACACGGCCATAATTCATTGAGCATAGAAAAATTGGACAGATAGGAAGGGATGTTTCCACTGAGTTGATTTACTATAAGGTTGAGATATTTAAGATTAGAAGGCCTATTAGTACTGCTCAAGGAAAGATTTCCGGAAAGGTCATTAAAGTGTAAGGAAACATGTTGTAAAGAGGAGATGTTGAATATAAATGGAGGAATCGACCCAGTGAGATAATTTCTACCGAAATTAAGTATTTCCAAACTTGGAACATTACATATCTCATTAGGAATATTTCCATGAAACTTGTTCTTTCTCAAACCAAGCCACTTTAAGCTTGACATGTTAGCAAAGAAAGATGGAATTGTACCTGTGAGGTTGTTTTGTTCTAGATAAAGCACACGGAGACTGGACAAGGTACTCAATTCCTTGGGTATGCTGCCACTAAATTCATTCATTACCAGACATATGACTTGAAGCTGTCGGCAATGGTGTATACTTGCAGGGATCACCCCTTCCAAGTAGTTAGCCTGTACATTGAGTACTTTCAAGCGACGCAAATGACTGATCTGGTGAATAAGTTGACCATGAAAATTATTATGACAAAGACTTAGCACCTTGAGAAAGGAGAGGTTACCCACATGAGGGGAGATGGTGCCATGGAGTCCAATGTCATAAAGATCCAAAGCTGTGACTCTTTGCCTGTGTCGGCGGCTACACGAGACACCAACCCATTGGCAAAAGTTGGTGTTTTCCGTCCAGTTACTCCCCAAAACGTTGTTGGGGTCGAAGGTGATTGCGGACTTGAACGAAAGAAGAGCCGATTCATCGGTGTAGTTGGATGAAAACAGGGCACCACAAACCGTGCATGACAAAAACAGTAGGTGAATCACTAATAGCAGGAAGGCAATGCCAAACCTCCCCATCGTCCCTCAAGGAGGTTCCAAAGTTCCGAACACACAGTGATGAGTGCTTTAGAAAGAAAGAAAGAAAGGGAGCTACACAGTGATGAGTAGTGGTTCAGTAAATTATATATCTTGATCTACTGCATTAAAACAGCAGCAGCAGAAGTATATATATACTGCACAACACCTGTTGCATGAATGAAATCTAGAAAAAGAGAAAACGTGAAATGTAGGATACACATAGTAAAGTGAAGAAGACAAAAAAGAGAAGATTCACCATAAATGGCAAACCAAATCAAACGGCTGTTACAGGAGGTATTCTTGTCAAGTCTTTAAAGAAAGAAATGGTGCTGGTTCATTTTTTTATTTTTTATTGTCAAGTCTTTAAAGAAAGAAAAGGTGCTGGTTGATTTTATATATATATATTTTCAATTCTTTAATGAAAGAAAATACCTGCTGGTTGATTTTACATATATATATATATTTTTTATTGTCAAGTCTTTCAAGAAAGAAAAGGTACTGCCGTCCTGCTGGTGCGATGTGCATGACTGCTGTAACTGGACCACTTGCTGAAAGGAAATGCAAAACCTGCCCATCTTCACTCAAGGAGGTTTCAAGTAGGGCTGTTAACTCAATCCAACCCAAAAATTTTAAAATTGGGGCTTATATTCACAAATCGGGTTCATGTTTTTGTCAAAATCCAAGGCTCGGGCTCAACCCGAACCCAACCTGAAACCCATTTTTTTTTTTTCCTCCTCCTCCTCTCTCTCTCTCTCTCTCTCTTCTTTCTCTTTCTCTCTCTGCCGCTGTCCATGTACTTCTCTGCCATCCTAAATCGAACGGCGAAACTTGAGAGTTGAGAGGAGGACATGCTTGAGAGTTGAGAGACAGTAGCTGAAGCTTGCGAACGGCGAACCCGAACTGGAATAGCGGGCGATGGAAACTGAAAGAAATGGGTTTTGATTTTTTGAACAATCTGAAATGATATGCTGATATGGGTTTTGATATAGGTAAATAGGTTTTGAACTTTTGATTCTTGCAGACAGATATATAAACTGAAATATATGGGTTTTAAACTTCTAATTCTTGTTGATTTTGTAGTTTGCAGTCGCACAGAGAGAGAGAGGGAGCAATTTCAGAGTTGAGATCGAACGAGACAATGAATAAATCATTGTTGAAATATTTGTTGAAGATGACTAAATCAGATCTAATCTTTGAAATATTTGTTGAAGATGAATAAATCAGATCTAATTCCGGACAACCATCTAATCTTCCATCAAACAATTGCACAGAGTGTGTTTGGTACCTAGTCGTAGGCTTTATCCCCTTCTTCCCAGCTTCCATTTATTTGCCTTGTAACATAGAGATGGAGGCGATTGGGGAGGTTGAAATGATTTGCCCTAAAATATATATATATTTTTAATAATAATATAATTAAATATATGTAATATACATATATATATATATATATATATTAAAAAAAAAAAACTCAACCCGTTAACCCAACCCAGCCCGCCCAAAAATATTCGGTCCAGGTTCTGACCACAACTTATACTGAGTACAATTTGAATTGGCCCAACTCAAATCGATTCGGGTTGAAGTTGGGTTGAGGCTGGGCTGGGTTGGGCCAGCCCAACTTACAACACTAGTTTCAAGCACACTGAGTGCTTTAGGGAGGAGAGAGAGAGATAGAGAGATCAAGATAACTATACCGTATTGTCACGGGCTTAGAGTTTCAGTACCACTCTAGCTGCTCCCGTGCGGCACCAAGACGTTGCTTCCACTCTCGCAAGTACTTGGTCAGCCTAACTCCCGTGCACACCTTAGCCAACACACTCCCCTCGTGCGCTTACTAGTGTTGTAGTTGCCCTCGCCCTCTCCTCACTCGGCTTGCACACTCACACACACTAAGGCACTTAAGTTGGCAAGGAAAGAACACTTCTATTACTTCAAAGAATGCTTTGTACAAGGCTAGCACTCAAGCTCTCTACAAGGCTCTCAAGACTTACTCTAGGACTTGTTGTCCACAAAATGAAGTCCTACCTCTATTTATAGGCATCCCCATCCCCAATGGACGGCTAGGATGCATTTTAACCGATGGTGGAGATCGATTCTCTAGAATCTTCTCCCACCTTCTTCACACTTCCATACTTATCCATAAATATCTACAACATTCTAGAACTCTCCATACTACTCCACACAACTCTGGAGAACTCTAGAACCTTCCACACACTTCTACATATTTCTACACATATCTAGAATCTTCCACACAACTCTAGACTACTCCGGAAGACTCTAGAAACTCCACTTGCCATGCAGTTGCCATGCAACATCCTCCTCAGCGTCTGCGTGGCACAACCTCCATAGGCGGGGCGTGACATTCTCCCCCACCCATTTCCGTGACGCCCTCGTCACGGTTTCTTCAACTGACCCAGCCTCTCGCAGGTCATCAGCACTTGCGCATATGTCCTTGGCCCAAACGTACGAATGCCCTTCGGGAGATGTGAAGTCCTCACGAGCTCCATCGTGTTGAATGCCACCTCTGGACTCTCCTTCCTACCCACGAGCGGCACCATGCATGCGGCCTTGCCTTCCTCGCCTCCAAGTATCATCAACGCACCAAGGCATGGTAGTGGCGCGGCGTTGTTCCTGTCCATGAACTCCAGCCCCAGCACCATGTCGTGGTCGTCCATCTCCGCAACTTGGAAGTCAGCCTTGCCCTTCCATCCTTGCATGCATAGCTCCACCTCCTTGCACACTCTACTCACGCGTGCCTCCTCGGAGTTGACGGCCTTGATCCAGCCCTCCGTCTTGCGCATCTCCAAGCCAAGTCATTGCGCATCTCCAAGCCAAGTCGTTGCGCCTCCTCCGGGGTAATGAAGTTGTGTGTAGCACCCGTGTCTACCAACGCTTGCACGGCTTTGCCACCAACCTGCGCATCCACATAGCGCACCCCAGCTACCTTCTTTGCCTTGCCCTTCTTCTTGGTGTCATGAGCCATGCTACTCAGCATCTGCATAGCCCCCATGCACCTATCTTCATCGCTGCCCGCATCGTCCACCCTGCCCTTGCCCTTATCCTTCACAAGGGCGCTCATGGTCTTCTTGTTGGGGCAGTGTCGCAATATGTGCGGCCCTTCGCACAAGTAGCACTTCGGCTCCCACTTGCCCTTATCGCGGCGCTCCCCTTTGCCACTAGCCTTAGACCTCTCTCCATGGTCCTTACCTTTATCATGGCGTGGGCGTCTCTCCTCATCGCTGTGCTCATCATCGCTAGACTTGGGCGAGCCCCGTTTCTTGAAGCGCCGGTCTCCCCCACCTTTGCCGTGGTCCCTCTTGGGAGACGTGGCCCTCTTGTCATCGCGCCTAAAGTCTTCGAGGCGCTCCGCTATAGCCATTGCGGATGCCAAGTCTCTAGGCTCCCTCCTCCTTAGCTCCGTGGCCACCCAAGACTGCAGCCCATCAATGAACAAGCACACACGTTGCCGCTCCGGCATCTCTGGGATCTCCAGTATCAAGTTGGAGTACTCCTTCACATACTCCCTTATGCTGCCCTTCTGCTTCAGGCGCCTTAGGTTGATCATGGCGAGGTCCTCAACGCACTCGGGATAGAACTGCCTCTTGAGCTGCCTCTTAAACTCCTCCCATGTGTCAACTGCTCTTGCGCCTCTACCGGTGAAGCGCTGCCTCCACCATAGAGCGGCAGTGTCCGTGAGGTACATAGTGCCTGTCTGCACCTTCTCCTCATCATCCTTGATCTCCATGCACTCGAAGTACCGCTCCATGTGCCAGAAGAAGTTGTCAATCTGGCGCGCTTTCCTTGCCCCATCGTACTCCTTGGGCTCCGGCGCCTTCTTCTTCCTTGGCTTCACTACGACCTCGCGCGCCTGAGAGAACTCCTTCTTGCACTCGGCAATCTCCATGCGCAAGTCGTCTACCCGATCATGCAAGTCCCTTTCTTTCTCTTGCGCCTTGTTGGCGATGCCATCAATCAGCTCGTAGAGCTCCGCCATCCTTCTCTCGAGCCTATTAAACTTAGTCTCCGTGTAGACCAAGTGTGTGGCAAGCTTCTCCTCCAAGCTCTGCTCTAAGATGTGGACTTGGTGGTCTCCTCCGCTAGCCATGTCTACTCCAACAAAGCTCCCTTGACGAACCTGGCTCTGATACCAACTGTCACGGGCTTAGAGTTTCAGTACCACTCTAGCTGCTCCCGTGCGGCACCAAGACGTTGCTTCCACTCTCGCAAGTACTTGGTCAGCCTAACTCCCGTGCACACCTTAGCCAACACACTCCCCTCGTGCGCTTACTAGTGTTGTAGTTGCCCTCGCCCTCTCCTCACTCGGCTTGCACACTCACACACACTAAGGCACTTAAGTTGGCAAGGAAAGAACACTTCTATTACTTCAAAGAATGCTTTGTACAAGGCTAGCACTCAAGCTCTCTACAAGGCTCTCAAGACTTACTCTAGGACTTGTTGTCCACAAAATGAAGTCCTACCTCTATTTATAGGCATCCCCATCCCCAATGGACGGCTAGGATGCATTTTAACCGATGGTGGAGATCGATTCTCTAGAATCTTCTCCCACCTTCTTCACACTTCCATACTTATCCATAAATATCTACAACATTCTAGAACTCTCCATACTACTCCACACAACTCTGGAGAACTCTAGAACCTTCCACACACTTCTACATATTTCTACACATATCTAGAATCTTCCACACAACTCTAGACTACTCCGGAAGACTCTAGAAACTCCACTTGCCATGCAGTTGCCATGCAACATCCTCCTCAGCGTCTGCGTGGCACAACCTCCATAGGCGGGGCGTGACAGTATGCTGAGAAAAAAAATAATAATAATAAAAACAAATGATGACCATAGGATAATAAGCTAATAGTTTTTATTTTTTATTTTTTCTTTAGGTGAACTTCATTAAAGCTATGGTTGTTCAATTTGGAAAAATCTAGTTTTCATTTTAAATTAAATTTTCATTAATTTTAAATCCAAGACAACAATTAGA